GTCTCAAAAGAGCTCACAGATCACCACTCCACAGGGGGGTCCGGGCAGGTGTTGGGGCGTTTCCGGGCGGCATGAGCCGGGCTCGTTTTTCACCAACAGTCACACACTTCGTGCTCTTCGCCTTCCCAGAACTCCATTCCCAGGCCACATTCTGAGGGGCCGGATGCAACAGTCACACACAAAGTGCTCTATTTCGACATCAGAACGCCTATTTCCCGGGCCTCATTCTGGGGGGCCGGATTGCCATCAGTCACACACGTCGTGCTCTTCGAGTTTCCCAGAACGCCATTCCCGGGCATATTTTGGATTGCCCGGAGCCCACTGTAGGCCACTCGATGCTCTTCTATTTCCCAGAACTCTATTCCCGGGCCACATTTTGAATGCCCAGAGCCAACTGTAGGCCACTTCGTGCTCTTCGAGTTCCCAGAACTCTATTCTCGGGCCACATTTTGAATGCCCCGAGCCAACTGTAGGCCATTTCGTGCTCTTCGAGTTCCCAGAACTCCATTCCAGGGCCACATTTTGAATGCCCGGAGCCAACTGTAGGCCACTTCGTGCTATTCGAGTTCCCAGAACTGCATTCCCTTCCCAGAACTCCCATTTCTGGGCCACATTTTCAGCAGGGGCAAGAGCACGACGAGGAGGAGACGAGCAAGACCAGAGAAGGACGGAGACGAAGCAGGAGCAGGACGAGAGCAGGTGGAGCAGGAGAAGAAGGACGGGAGCAGGAGGGAGGGGAGGACGAGCAGAAGAGGAGGATGGACACGACCAGGAGGAGGGATGCGACAGGAAGAGGTAGGAGGAGGTGGAGGAGGAGGGGTAGGGGGAGGAGTTACAGGAGGAGGTGGAGGAGAGGAGGAGGAGGAGGAGGTAAGAGGAGGAGGAGGAGGAGGATGACGAGGAGACGAGGAGGAGGGAGGGAGGGGGGGGGGGAGGAGAGAGTACCAGGAGGAGGAGAACGAGGACCACCAGGAGGAGGAGGAGGAGGAGGAGGAGGAGGAGGAGGAGGAGGAGGAGGAGAGAACACCAGGAGGAGGAGGACGAGCAAGACGAGGAGGACGAGAACGAGGACGACCAGGAAGAGGAGGAGGAGGAGGAGGAGGAGGAGGGGAGGGGGAGGACTACCAGGAGGAGGAGGAGGAGGAGGAGGAGGAGGAGGAAGAGGAGGAGGAGGACGAGGCGGAGGAGGAGGAGGACGAGGAGGGGAGGGGGGATGGCCGCACTGGAGGAGGGAACGGAGGACCACCAGGAGGAGGAGGAGGAGGAGGAGGAGGAGGAGGAGGAGGAGGAGAGAGCACCAGGAGGAGGAGGACGAGCAAGACGAGGAGGACGAGAACCAGGACGAGCAGGAGGAAGAGGAGGAGGAGGAGGAGGAGGAGGAGGAGGAGCAGGAGAAAGAGGAGGAGGAGGAGGAGGAGGCAGGCTGAGGCTGAGGCTGTGACTGCGACTGCCGTTGCCGCTGCGACTGTCATCGCGAATGCGACTACGACTGCGAGAACAGCAGAATTCTACAACTGGATTTTCATCTGAATCTTAAGGGGAATGCTTTCAGATATGCTTCTACACATCGCTGTTAGGTTGCTTTGCCGGGATAATTATTTAATCGCTTCGCTCATTCCGCCGGCCCGTATTGTGCCATCGCAGGCGTTTGCTTGCGCGTTCGTGGCCTCTTGGAGCCTCGGTGGGGCCGTTTGGGGCCTCTTGGCGCCTCTTTTTAGGCCTCTTGGAGAACTCGGGAGGCCTCCAGGGGGCCTCCTGAGCTCTCGTGACGGTCTCTTGGGGGGCTTTCGGCGGGCTCTTGGCGGTATTTGTTGGTCCTCTTGGGGCCTGGGGCCTGACGTTGTTGGTCCTCTTGGGGCCTCACGGGAGCTTATTGGGGCGTCTTGGGGGTGTCTTGGAGAGTCTCTTGGGGCCTTTTTCGGGGTCCTGGGCGCCTTCTGGGGCGGAGGGCTCGATTTTTCAGTTCTCGGTTCCCTTCTTGAGCCCCTCTTGGGCCCGTCTTGGGGCCTCTTGGTCCGCCTTGGGCAGCACTTGGGCCGTCTGGGGGGCGCTCTTGGGCCGCTCCAAACTCGGGGGCCTCGTGGGCCGTCTTGGAGCAGTCCTGAAGGCCTCTTGGGCCCTCTTGGAGCGTCCGGAAGCGAAAAGGCCAGAACGAAAAAAAAACGTCGAAACAACCAGTGACAATCAACGATTTTGGCAACTTGGGGCCCTCTTCGGAGGCCTCTTGGAAGGCCCTTGGAGCGTCTTGGAGGCCTCTTGGGCTGTCTTGGGGCCATCTGGGGCGTCTTCGGGCGATCTTTGGCCGTCTCGGGCCTTTCTTGGACCGTCTAGAAAGCTTCTCGGGGCCCTCTTGGACCGATCTGGAGCCCTCTTGGACTCCGAAACAGAACTCCGGCATCTCTGACCCGACCTTGCCGGGGCCTTCCTCTGGTCGGGTTTAGTTGTTTTTCTTTTTATTGTCGGGTCTAGTTTTTCCATGGTCGGGTTTAGTTGTTCCTTTGGTCGGGTCTAGTTTTTCCTTGGTCGGGTTTAGTTTTTCCTCTGGTCGGGTTTGTTTTTCTCCTGGTCGGGTCTAGTTCTTCCCTGGTCGCGTTTCGTTTTGCAGTGGTAGCTAGTACTCCCCTGGTCGTGTTTAGTTTCCTCTGGGCGTGTTTGGTTTTCTCAGCGGTCGTGTTTAGTTTTCCTTGGTCGCGTTTAGTTTTCCCCTGGTTGTGTTTTCCCAGCCATCCTGTGGTGTTGGGTCCTCGTTTTGAAGAGACGGTGCCCCGCGTTCCTCTCCTCTCCTCTCCTCTCCTCTCCTCTCCTCTCCTCCTCCTCTCCTCTCCTCTCCTCTCCTCTCCTCTCCTCTCCTCTCCTCTCCTCCTCTCCTCCCCTCCTCTCCTCCTCTCCTCTTCACCCACCCAGTACACCGCTTCGTGGCTCCATAGGGAGCTCCACCGAAGGCCCCAGTGCCCGCGCCCGCATGCGTCACCCACACCCATTTCGGCACACCCCTCACACGTTTCGTGGCTCCATAGGGAGCTCCACCGAAGGCCCCAGTGCCCGCGCCCGCATGCGTCACCCACACCCATTTCGGCACACCCCTCACACGTTTCGTGGCTCCATAGGGAGCTCCACCGAAGGCCCCAGTGCCCGCGCCCGCATGCGTCACCCACACCCATTTCGGCACACCCCTCACACGTTTCGTGGCTCCATAGGGAGCTCCACCGAAGGCCCCAGTGCCCGCGCCCGCATGCGTCACCCACACCCATTTCGGCACACCCCTCACACGTTTCGTGGCTCCATAGGGAGCTCCACCGAAGGCCCCAGTGCCCGCGCCCGCATGCGTCACCCACACCCATTTCGGCACACCCCTCACACGTTTCGTGGCTCCATAGGGAGCTCCACCGAAGGCCCCAGTGCCCGCGCCCGCATGCGTCACCCACACCCATTTCGGCACACCCCTCACACGCTTCGTGGCTCCATAGGGAGCTCCACCGAAGGCCCCAGTGCCCGCGCCCGCATGCGTCAGCCGCCCATTTCGGCGCACCCCTCACACGTTTCGTGGCTCCATAGGGAGCTCCGCCGAAGGCCCCAGTGCCCGCGCCCGCATGCGTCACCCACACCCATTTCGGCACACCCCTCACACGTTTCGTGGCTCCATAGGGAGCTCCACCGAAGGCCCCAGTGCCCGCGCCCGCATGCGTCAGCCACACCCATTTCGGCACACCCCTCACACGTTTCGTGGCTCCATAGGGAGCTCCACCGAAGGCCCCAGTGCCCGCGCCCGCATGCGTCAGCCACACCCATTTCGGCACACCCCTCACACGCTTCGTGGCTCCATAGGGAGCTCCACCGAAGGCCCCAGTGCCCGCGCCCGCATGCGTCACCCACCCAGCACACCCCTCGCACGTTTTCGTGGCCCCATAGGGAGCTCCACCGCCCCAATGCCTGCGCCCGCCGCGCTCATTTCGGCATGCGTCCACCCACGCCCAGTTTCGGCACACCCCTCACACGCTTCGTGGCTCCATAGGGAGCTCCGCCGAAGGCCCCAGTGCCCGCGCCCACATGCGTCACCCACACCCATGTCGGCACACCCCTCGCACGTTTCGTGGCCCCATAGGGAGCTCCGCCGAAGGCCCCAGTTCCCGCGCCCGCATGCGTCAGCCACACCCATATCGGCACGCCCCTCACGCGTTCCGCGGCCCCATAGGGAGCTCCGCCGAAGGTCCCAGTGGGTGTGCCCGCATGCGTCCCGCACACCCAATTCGGCACACCCCTCACGCGCTTCGCGGCCCCATAGGGAGCTCCACCGAAGGCCCCAGTGGGCGTGCCCGCATGCGTCCCGCACACCCATTTCGGCACACCCCTCGTACGTTTCGTGGCCCCGTAGGGGGCTCCACCGAGAAGATATTCAAAATTGGAGTATTCACAATTGCATATGGTTGGGTCCTTCGCCAGGATATGTTTTGTGTGTGTGTTTTGTTCCTCTGGTCGCGTCTCGTGTTCCGTTGGTTGCGTTTAGTGTTCTCTTGGTCGTGTTTAGTTTTTCCCTGGTCGCGAGGAGGAGGAGGAGGAGGAGTGCGCCGCCGCTCCAAGTCGCCACCTGGGCCGTCGTCGTCGTCGTCGTCGTCGTCGCCCCTTTCGGCGTCGTCGCCCCCCCCCTCCTCCCCCCCCCGCCCCCTCGCGACCAGGGAAAAACTAAGCGCGACCAGGGGGGGACTAAACGCGACCAGTGGAAAACTAAACGCGACCAGGGCCGCGCTTAGTTTTCTCCTTGTCGTCGTCGTCGTCATAACCATCGACGTCATTGGCGTCGGGGTGAACCACCTTAAAGAGTATTCATAAGAAACAGGATCACTCCGAAAATTCACTAGGACGTCGCCACAGCTTCGCGTCGCATTTCGGCCGAGCCCGCTGCTACTCAGTGCTCCTCGCTTCGCCACTAGCGCACTCATTTCGCCCTATTCCGCCGCGCGCGAAGCCGCTGCCTCTGGCGCGTCGCGCGTCGCGCGGTCACCATGGCGGCGCAATGGCCGAACTTCGAGGCCGCGCGCGTCGAAGCGGTCGAAGCGTGCCTGCTGGAGCAACGCGTCAGCGACAAGAAGATCACTTGGCGCACCGCGCTGAATGACCATGCCTCGACGCGCCCTCAAGTGTGCGGAGGCGCTTTGGTCCCAGCCGTCAGCAAGTGCAAGGAATGCGCTGCCCCTGGCGCGGGCTGGCGGCGCACTCTGACTTTGCCGAACAGCTTTGCGCCAGGAGATGGCCGTCGGCTCGTTGCGATAGGGGAAAGCGCGATGAAAGAGGAAGCGTCGGAACTCGCTTGCCTCCGTGCCGTCGCTTCGCTCGTCAGCGAAAACCCAGGCCAGTTTGTGCTCCGGCCGAAGCGCTGGAAGGTGCCGCCCGACGAGCTCGTGGCCAGTATGCACGGCGCCGCCGCCGACCCTGCCTCTGGCGGGCACGCGCTGCCAGCGCGTGCCCCCGCGCGCCTCCAGGGCGCGGGCTCGGAGGCTAACGCGCCTGACGCTGGCGCGCTTGGTTGAATTAGCCAGCGACGTTCTCAGAACGCGCGGCGGCGAGTTCGATCCGTCGCGGATTTCCCGCAACAAGTGGTGGCGGCGCGACGAGCGCGCGTTCGAGACGTTCAACGAGCTTTTGGCGCCTGGGGGGCTGAAGGACTTCCTCGACAGACACTCCGACGAATTCGCCTGGCGCGAACAGGCCGACAACAGAGGCATGTTCATCGCATGGGCGAACTGGGCGCGGCGCGAGGAGCGCGCCCCGCCATGGGCGCGCCCCGCCATGGGCGAAGTGGGCGCAGGCGCTGCCTCTGGCGCGCCCCGCCGCGGCGAGCGCGCCCCAACAAGAAGTGGCCTCAGGAAGCGGCCTGGGGCGGCCGAAGGGCGCCCGCCAACTGACCGCCCTCGGGAAGCGGCCTCAGGAAGCTGCCAGAACGCGCCGCCCTCAGGAAGCGGGCAGAATAAGAGCAACCTTTGGGAAGACCTTCGCTAGGAGATGGTTGCCCGAGACGCTGCCTCTGGCGTGGCCGAGTCGCTGCCTCTGGCGCGCCCGTGACGCTGCCTCTGGCGCGCCTTCTGAGGCCGAGGCGGCGTCGCGGCAGCTGGCGCCGCGACACTTGCGAGCGGAAGAACTAGTCGTCGTCATCACTACCGTCGTAGTCGCCATCATGACCACCGACACCATCAGCGCAATCAGCGACACCGGCATCATGACCATCGTCGTCATGACCGCCGTCAACATGACCACCGACATCATGACCATCGCCATCATGACCACCGACATCAATGGCATCATCAGCGCCACCGTCATCATCATCAACATTGCCATAATCACGCCAAGTTCGCATCATATTGGCGCTGCGGATCCATCATATGACGTTCGACCCCTTGGTGGCCCAGTCAGTCGAGCGGACGTTGCCTATCCGTGTTTTGCTGGCCCTTTCCAGTGGGACATGATGTTTGCATCCACGCGAGTACGGTTCGCACTCTAAGGTTGCACATCTACAAACACAGTGTAGAGCTTCTTCGAATGGTAATCAACACACGCATCAGACCCAGGGTTTGACGATGAAGCTTCTTTTCATGACTTACTGCGAACATTCCGTAAAAGAGCGGACTTCTAATTGTTCCGGACGGTTTTGCATCCCGTCCCATGGAAGTCTGTCTGGGTAGATGCGGCCTGGAGGCACAACGCATTTTCCATGGAATCGTCGTGTCCAGATTCTGCATTTCTCGGGCCCAGGCGTCTGATAGTGTACGTTGATAGCGCAAGCATGCGCGTCCTATGCCGGCGCTGACACGAAGAGGCCAATCGTGTTCTTTTTGAATATCCGTGGTGCTCGACACACTGCGTCTTCTGGAGCTGATCCCGTTGCTCTGCACCGATGAAATGTCATTACACCGAGAACGGGCAGATGAGGTGTTGTTTGCTGGAAGTTGCCGCCTGCGGTACACGTTTCCGGGATTTTCTCCGAGAATCAATTGTTCATCCACGATTGTAGTCATATATTTCCATTTGGGACAGGGTTGGACTGAATTTTTCATGGTGGTGATTGATCTGATCCCGGCGGAGGATGTACCAAGGCGTCGCGCCCTTGCTCAGGAATGTTGGCCACTATTCACATCGGTTTTGTTGTCCACACCGGCTACACCCTGAGTGAAGCAGCCGTCCGCGTAATCTTCGATCGTGGCGCTTGGCGCTGATGCGTTTGGCCGTTCAACACAACTTTCATGAAGATCTAGAGGGCGCCAGCTCAATGCCTACACCGATCCTGCCCAAGCCGATCCTGGGTTCAGGATCGTCGTCTACGTGTTCCTGGCCAGGTCTTGCATGATGGCCAATTCGCTACAACGGTGCCCCCGTTTAGCTAGCTTCTTCCGCCAGCGCAGACGACCCCTGCCTAGCCGCCGACGGAAAAATTCAGGACGGCGCATATGGCCAGTTCAGGACGGCGCATACACAGATCCTGAGCATAGGACCGTCTGGGCCAGGATCGGTGCAGATGCATCGTTGACGCCCTCCTGCAGTACGGCCAGTATCTAGCAGAAAGAGGTGCCACTCGGCACGGCACGGAGAATGACGCGGAAATGGCGCCTCTTTTTCGGAGTCTCTTTGGGCCCCCCCCGACGGCATAGACCCCCATCAAGACGGCCTTATGCTGCTACTCTGTCCCCTTTCTCTTCAGTGTTTTGTGGCCGCCGGCCGACTTGAAGGTCGTGTGTCCCCTCTCCATTCATCCTTTTCCGTGCTCTTGTCCAGCGAGACCAACCTGACTTGTGTATACTGCAAGATCAGCATCCCTCACTACACACTGTTCGATCGCCACCATTCGACATTTCGTGGCTGCTCGGCGCTCGCCAACTTGACGCGTGGGTGCCGCCAGTCGATGGGGCTCAAACAGGGCGCTCCTACACAGTACTTCCTCCCGATGGTTGACCTTCTTCCTCTCTTCCCATTCCAGTGCCCTGGCATGCACTGCTACGTGGTCTCCGATTCATCCACGGGACATGTGTTGTTCTCTCTGATTGGTCGACCAAGATTTGTGGAATCGTTGCCAAGCCAGCAATATTCGGACCTCGAGCCCGTGCAACTAGCCCAGTGGACAGAAGCAGCGGCTGCGGAGGCGATGGTCCAGGTGAGAAGGTGTTGACACCTACGCCCCCACAGGCAGTTCGGTCAGTAGAGGCCGGGCTTGCGGATGGTTCATCTTCATATTGGTTTCGCTTGTCTAGTTGAGCAGGGGCGGCAGTTACGCCAAGGGGCCCGCGAAGATGATACCATCCGATCGCGCTTTCCGAGGCTGATTAAACCTACCCGCAACGATTTCCAAGGCAAGGCATGCAGTCACGGCTCAAAGCTGTTTCGCGCATCGTTCTGTTCAGCGAAGCGTTTTTTCTTGTTCTTCTTGCTACTAGGTCCTAGGTTTGTGGTCAGCCGCCGAACGTGAACGCGGAGCAGCATTGTCGGGCCCGAGTCACGCCGCGCTTTCAGCTACTCTGTGGGCTGATATAGCAGAATGTTATACGTACGCTGCTTAGACCTCGGTATTTCCCTGCATATCCGCAATGGCGTCCTTCTTATGACCCCACTCTGGACACCGCTGCAATATCGGTGCACGCCAACAGTTTGAAGTGTTGGTCTTTGGTTTGGTGTAAGCGTTGTGCAGCTTGTGCAGTTTATCAAAGCACGTCGTAATTGACTTGGTCACTGTATCCTTGAAGTTTGTTTTGCGACGTCGGCGACATTGCATGGCGGTGCTGGTCGTGCCAGACATAGTTGTCAACCATGCAGGTGTGTATGTGAGTGTGTGATGCGCAGTGCTTGTGTCCGAAATTGCAGTTAAGCCGCATCGCGATACAATGCAACGCAATGCATCAATAACGCCATGTGCTGGAAATGTTGAGCGGGGTCGAGTTGCATTGCCATCTAACCTGCGTTACAGTGGACGTTCAGTTCATGTGCTGTCCTCGTGTTAGGCGGTGGATTTGGATCTACGTACTCGGGCCCTGGGGTGGGGGGCGGGCAAATATATGAATGTCCACCGCTTGCCGAGGTCCCCGAAGATCGATCCACCAGGCGGTGGTTATAGATAAAGCACCGCCTCGCAGTCGTGCCTCCAGTGTCTTCTCTCTCTCCCCTCTTCTTGTACCCGTCTAGCCTTGCCTCGCCCCCGGGGCCATTTTCATCCATTCCCTCCGCCCAGCTCCCCTCGCCCTCTCCTCCCGCCTCTCCCCCCCCGCCCCCTTTGCGCTTCACTCCTTCCCCCCCCTCACCCTCCTCTTCCCTTCCACTTTCCTCTTTTCCCTCCCCTGCCCTCACCCACATCCTGCCCTCCTCGCCCTTACCGCTTCCCCTCTCCCCCCCCCCTCCTCGCTCCACCATCTCCCCCCCCCTTCCCCATCTCCCCTCCCTCCGCCCTCGGCCCCTCTCGCCCCCGCGCCCCTTGGGCACGAGGCCTGCACCATGAGCGTCAGGCTGCTGCGCCTGGAGCCGCTGCCGTCCTCGGAGCGCCTCGCGGTGGAGACCGTGTCCCTTGGCGACGGGGAGACGTTCCCGCGGCGCGGCGACAGGCCTGGCGCCCTGGCCTCCTCCCTTCGGGTCGGACGAAGGGGGTGGGGACAAGAAAAGAGAGGGGGCTACGAGATCTGCTGCGTGCAGCTGGGTTCGGCCACTTCGCTGGGCGTTTCCCTCGATACGTTAGTACCTCTGACGCCGGGAGGCGCTTGGAAGCTCAGTTATTGATGAGCTGATTTGCTAACCCCACCTTCTTTTATCCCACCCTTTCATCTGACCTCCCCAGACTATTCGTCGCGAGGCAGTGCTCTAAGTGCGTGGTTCGAGGTATGAGTTTCGAGGTTCGACCTCTCCAGAGGCTCTGGGTTTCGGACGTGTTCGTCGGCCTCTGGAAGTGTTCCATCCTCGGGATGCCTTCCAGCAGCTCTGCCTCGCCGAGATCGTTCAAAGGGGTGCCCGAATCCAGAGACCTGAATTATGGCCCGAAGTCCGGACATTTTCTCGGAGCGAAAAACCACGACGGAAGGTTTTTAGCAATTTTCTGCCTCTGGCGGCTCTTTCAGGGTCCTTGGACAGTAACAATCACAAACCATATTCGGGATGAAAAGCAAGCGGGTCCCCTGGAAGGGATCCAGACCTCTGGGGTACAAAAGTTTAAGAGGGGGTGAGGGCAATGTGTGTGCGTGCGGATATCAAGGCCGGGGCCAGGGAATCTCAGATCTCATGGCTTCCTCTTTGTCTTTCAACCCGTCCCCTAGCCCCCATTCGTCCCCGCGCATGCTTTGGGACATGATTCGCGCCCCCCCCTCTTGCCCTAGTGACAAAACGGCTTCCAGGCGTCGCGCTTTTTCCACACTAGGCGTTTTCGCCTGGGCTCTGGGACCCTCACGGATCGATGCGGCTCGAGAGTTGCAGCAGAAACATTGGGTTTAGGGCTTTGGTTTGATTTTTCACGACGTCGGGTATCGGCTCCTCGCGCCTCATGGCCTCCTTCTTCGGGCCCACTGAATTCGATGAAGACACATCTGCATACATCTAGCGGCGGTCCACGCAGATTTCTCGGGTCGGCGCTGGGCCACCCTGGCGGTGCTTTTGACGCTGCCCTTGGCGCGCTCTAAGCGCCATGGAGGGAGGGGGTCCAGCGCCGATCCAAGACATCCGCGCGGACTTCCGAACATGCATGCTTTTGCAGACTTTCGGCGTACTACCACAAGACTCCCACTTTCTTCGGCGCCCTCCTAGCGGGAGTCAGCGCTGACGCGAATCAGCTCATACTTTTTAGGTGCCCGGGTTTGACGGCCACGTGGAGCCGATCTTTTCTTCCACCTTTCGTTCCCCCGGGTTTCCGAGCTGCTGAGCGGCCGGCTGGTCTGGGTTCGCGACGTGGCCCTGGCTGACGTGGCCTGGCGCCCCGATCTCTACGGGTCCCGATATTCCTTCGATCAGATGCGGCACGATGCTTGCATGACGCTATTGTGCATCTTGAAGCGGCCGTTCCGATTCTGTTCCGACTTTGTGCCGACGCGGCCGATCTGATGCGTGTTCCGATCCGACCCGATTTCCCGCCTCGATGCTGACTGGTTCTGCCCTCCTCCCACGCCTCCCTCATTTCTGACCGGCAGAGCGTCGTCGGAGACTCCTCCTCGCGGGCCCTGCGTCCGTGAGGGAGGTTGCTCGGGAAGGGCATTGCTGGCAGCAATTTCGTGCCCCTTTCGCCCTGTCCTCCTCCCCAATCCCTCCCCCTCTCCTCCCCTGACACGTTTCCCCCGAGACATCCTTGCAACTCTGGGATCCGAAATGCCGCGCACGGTGTGGTCTAGCCCGTCTCGCATGAGAAGTCGTCGCAACTTTGGGAGCAACGATGCTCTGACCTGAGATGGTCCAGCCCGTTCCGTTTCGCCTGAGAAATCCTCGCAAGTTTGAGCTCCGAGATGCCGTTTCCAGGGTGTTCTTGCCGGTTTCGCTTTAAACATCTGCGTCGGATTGGTCTCGGAAATGCCCTGACCAGGTAGTATCCAGCCTGTTTCGCCTGAGACATCCTCGCAACTCTGGGCTCGGAGATGCCGCGCGAGAGGTGTCCAGCCCGTTTCGCTTGAGATTTCCTCGCATTTCTGCGCCCAAAGATGCCGCGCGAGAGGTGGTCCAGCCAGTTTCGCCCGAGACATTGTCGTAGTTTGGGGCTCAGAGATGACCTGAGCCGAGGTGATTCAGCTCGTTACGCCGGAGACATCCTCGCAATCCTGAGCTCCGAGATGCCGCGCGAGAGGTGGTTCAGCCGTTTTCGCCTGAGACATCCTCGCAACTCTGGGCTCCGAGATGCCGCGCGAGAGGTGGTTCAGCCGTTTTCGCCTGAGACATCCTCGCAATTCTAAGCTCCGAGATGCCGCGCGAGAAGTGGTCCAGCCCGTTTCGCCGGAGGCATTTGCAATCATGGGCTCGGAGATGCCGCGCGCGAGGTGGTCCGGCCTGTTTCGCCTGAGACATCCTCGCAATTCGGCTCCGAGGTGAGAGGGGAGGAGGCAGACGAGGACTGGCCCACACGACCTTTTTGATTCCATTCCTGTTATCGGAGCGTGCTCCAGCCAGGGGTCCAAGAGCCCATGGCCCGAGGGAAGAATTACCCAGCGCCTAGGCGAGAGCAGGATCCCAGGGTCATCTGTAAACCATAGTCCCAGGCATGTGTAAGAATGTCTCAGGCGGGAGCGTCGTGCCTCATAGAACTGAGGGAGTCTCGAGGCAGAGCGTGGCCAAGAGTGAAGAGGGGCTGGGGAGGAGGGGGGCGGGAAGAGGGAGGCAGGAGAGAGGAACGGACAAGCTAGATGCGCTCGCGCCATATCGAACATCCGATCCCTTCCACCTATCCCTTGCCATTGCGCTGATCTTTATCTATCCGCCGACAGGTCTCATGGCGGCCCCAGAACCCCCAGCAGGACCCCGTCGTGTCATGCGCCATCTTCTGAAAACAGGACCTGCGTACATTAGAGGTGGAGGAGGTGGCGGATGAGCAGGAGGATGAGCAGGCGGAAGAGGAAGGATTAGGACGAGGAGGACCATCAGCAGCAGCAGGAGGAGCGGGAGGAGCAGGAGGACCAGGGGAAGGCGGAGACGACGGGGAAAGGGAAACGAAGGTTGCGACAACGACGAGGAAGCACTCGAAATGAGGCCAGCGCTGCAGCGGGAGTACTATCTTGAAGCATCAGAAGCGCTCTACATCTCATTGTATGAATTCCTTGGCGTACTCAACCATACACGGATATAGTGGGACACTTCCAGAATTCAGTCAGTGGAGAAGAGGCTCGTATTCATATCGAACAACTGCATAGAGATCGAGAGAGAGAGGAAAACAGTGAGAAAGAGAGAGGGAGGGAGAGAGAGAGAGAGAGAGAGAGAAAGAAAAACAAACAACAGAGAAGAGAAAGATGACGAGAGAGAGAGGGAGGGAGAGAGAGAACGAGAGAGGGAGAGAGAGAGAGAGAGAACGATCACATAGAGATGAGGAGAGAGAGAGAGAGAGAGAAAACAAACAAACATAAGAAACTGCTATATATATATAGAGAGAGAGAGAGAGAGAGAGAGAGAGAAAGAGAGAGCGAGAAAGAGAGGAGGGAGAGGGGAAAGTACCAAACGACGGATCTGAGCACGCTTGTGGTATCGAAATGCGTTCCAGGAGCGGTATTCGCGTGCCCCCGGCAAAAGGTAGCAGGTAAGTAGTCGGCGCCGAGGCGACAACAGCATTACGCAAAGATTTCTCGGGCGGCAGCGGCATTCCTGACCAAATGTTGAGGCTGTTTCCAACGAGAGGAGGAACAATAGGCGGAGAACCCGCAGGACGAAGAGGGGCACGGAGAACAGGGAGGATACATTGATATTTGGAAGAAGAGGAGGAGGAGGAGGAGGAGGAGGAGGAGGAGGAGGAGGAGGAGCAGGATAAAGGAGGATGATGAAGAGGAGGAACACAAGAGTAGGATAAGTGGACGAGGAGGAGGAGGAACACAGGGAGGTGTTGCCCAAGCAGAGATGTCCGCTTGAGTATCGCGCGTGTTTCCGCCGATGGGGTAGTCCTCCAGCGTGCTGTATCATCAGACGCAGTTCTCATACGCGCTCTGCAAGCACATCTTGGATAAGGTATCGTGTTGGTTTCGAGTGAGTCGTAACAGCGTGGGTAGCCGCATCTCTCGCGAACGCCCTTCGTGCTTCCGCCAGCTCAAATGGTTTGATCATCCTTGGTTTGCTCTAGTGTTGTTTACATTACATATGGTGCGCACAGTGTTGGAGATGTGTGATAGATTTGGTCGAAGCGTTGGGGAACGCAGTATCAACGTCGGATCGAATTCACAGAGACCGCCATGAGAGACGAAGTGAACTCGACGAAAGCATCCCATTCCCAGTGAAGTTCGCGCGCGCTCTGAGTGATGAGAGGGCGTCAAACAAGGTACTGAAGAGGTAAAGAACGTTGTGGGAGAGGGACTCAGCGAGAGCGATAATGTGAGCGATTCAGACTGTTGTTTGGAAGACCATGACATGCACGATATCGGATAGTATCGTTGACGCCATGTCAGGTTAACGATGCACTACGTCGGTAAGCTCGCATCCACTGGTGTGCAGTTTGACTCCAGCCGTGAGAGGGGCGAGCCCTTCAGGCAGGGGCGGAGCCAAACATCATGGAAATAAGCCGTTCGCAAACTCTGGGCAGCTATTGTAAATAATTGTCAACATTTGTGGACAGCGGCTCTTTTTTGAGAGAGGACCGGTGCAGTCCGTTGTAAATGAATTACTCTACGTAGTTTGGTTGCGAATCAGTTCATCAGCAAGAGCGCGCCGATGGAAACACGTTAGGAAACGCAGCACACGGACTTGTCTTGCTCGCACGCGTTTGCCAATTTCTGTTTCAAAGGTGTATAGAGGTATTTTGTTACATGTCGGAGCGTCTCTCGTTCATGGACTTGTCAGCGCAGGGCGGTATGACCGCGTGAGGCAGAGTGGTCTTGCAATATGCCCGAACCCGCAAGTATAATCGAGCCTGAGGGAGAATGACCGCTTATCGTAGGAGAACGCCGCGGCATCTCTCACAGCCCAGGTGCCAGATCGGAGTCCGACAAGTCATCGCTGGTTGGGACTACGGTGTCATGAAGATGTCTTTGGGAGAGCGTGCGATCCTCAGGCATTCCGTCCCATTGCATTGTAGCTTCGATCTGTTGCCATCATGCTGCATGCCCTGCCGCTGCTCTTCGATCATGGGTTTGTAGCCGTCCGTCACCCTGCTGCACCATGCCCTTGGCAGTTCTAGCATGGCCCACTTCGGGCTCGGGGGGGGGGGCTCTGGCTTTGGGGCTGCTCCCCAGGTATAGGTCGAGAACCTACTCGTGGCCGAGGCTCGCCCTGGCCAGACACGCCGGTTCGTTTCTTATCTAGCGCCCCTCGTGGGAGCACGCTGACTGTGTTTTGCTTTTCGGCGTGCCACCTCTGTCAGTCTCCCTCGCCTCCCTCGCCCACTGGCTCGCTTCGCGTGGCGATCTTGGGGTGCGCAGGGGTACCGCGCACAGAGACCAGCTTCGCTGGTGTGCGCTTCGGATTCACCGATGCAGCGGGCAAAGGAGAGGGGAGCTGGGATGGGAACGGGAGGGGAGGAGAGTGGAGAAGAGAGAGGGGGGCACGCTGCTTCTTGAAGCTATGCAGGTGCGTTCGCGGCACATCTGGCATCCTGTCCCTACCCCCCATCATTTCCCGTTGCTTTGAACCCTTTCCTGTTCGCCGAGTCGGGTGTCGGATCTAAATCCAGATGGTCGATTCTGGAAATCCTGAAGTTCTTGACGTATCACGTTTATCGGTAATGGTTTCGCCCCCTGCCGCCGGCCCCTTTTCTATCATAACGAGAACATATGAGCTATATTCAGATGGCTTGGCGCCGTCTTGCACACATTTTGATGCTGACGCCGATGGTGATGCTGATGATGCTCTGTAGCCATTTTGGCTCAAGCAGCCTTTCTGGTTGCCATTTTGGCTCAAGCAGCCTTTCTGGTTCAGGCGTTGCTCGAGCTTGTCGGCAGCGAGCTTTTGAAGGGCATTGCTGTCGCGAACCTCTGGCTCCAGTGCTGTCTCCATCACTACGGGCTGCGCGCCATGCCTCCCTGGCGCGACCGCCAGCCTCCGAGGCCGAGGCCGGGGACATGGCGCTGTGAGGCCTGCGGGTGTAACCGCAACCCCGAGGGATGGTGGTGGTGCAAGCGCTGCAAGCGTGGGTGGAATGAGTGTGCAAGCGATGCCATCGACGGGTACGGGTCCAAGGAGGCGGCGGGGGGAGAAGGCAATGTTTCTGGTGAGTGTGCTCCTCTGTTCGGCCGCGCTGGAGTGCTTGGTCGCAAACGTGCCCCCCCCATCGCCACCGATGGCCTGTGCAGTGCTGACCTTGGCGCCATGGCGACCCCGGCGAAGAAGCAGGGCCAAGAGGCTCCGTGCAAGAAGTTCGAGAGGGACGGGGGCGCTCAATTTATCAGAGAGCAACCGCGTGTGGAGCAGCCCGTGTCCCTGCACACCAGGGCCAGCCAGGCCCAGTCCAAGATCAAACAGTGCGAGAAGCGCACCGATAAGGAATTTGACAATTTGGAGCGTTGGAGAGCTGACGCGAAGCAACTGGAGGAGACCATTCAGCAGCTATCGGAGGAGCTCGCTGGCCACGAGCACGTGTACAATGAGCTGGTCATGCATTCTCGTGTCGAAGAGGTCCCAGAAGGTGCCGTAGTTCCCGCTGTTCCGAAGCTCAGTCTGCGTGCCATCGCCGAGTCTGGGCCAGGGATTGAGTTGGCGGACGAGTTGCTGGACAACCTGCCCAAGGATTCTGGGTTGTCTGAAGAATAGCGGGCCTTTGAGAAACGCAATAGCTTCTGGCTGACCAGTTCCGCAAGGTGGCGAAGCACTTCTTCGGCAGCGCCAGCGCGACCTTCGACGGTGCGCGCAAGGAGCACAAGTCGCACACCAAGAAGAGGAGGACGGGATAATGAGATGCTGCGGTTGTTCCTGGTGGCGGAGAGTGTGATGTTGGCGCGGGTCCCGGGGCAGCGGCCCCTATTGAGGGTGGAGGTGGGGCCTCGGCAGCGTCTGTCGCCTCTGCCTCTGGGGCTATGGCCGCCGGCAAGACGCAGCGTGCATCAGGAGCCAGTCCCGAGCTTCAAGCCGTCGCTTGAGCAAAGGCCCATGTAGGGCTTTAGGCGTGGCAGTTTCTAGGACATCCCCCGTTTTAGGGAGGCCACGTGTTGTGGGCCTGGTGAAGCTTGCAACCTGCGATTTGAAGGCCGTAGCTTGTTGGTGGATTTGGAGGTTCGTGGGTTTCCAGGACCACGTCCTCGGCCTGATGATGAACTCCTGGAGCTTGTCATCCCGACTGCGAACTGCAACAGTTGCGGGTCGCTCCGTGATTGGCTCCTCTCTGCGACGAGTTCTCATTCAGTTTGGGTCAGGAACACCACTTGGTGGACTCTGACTTCTCCAAAGGGCATTAGTTTCTGCGCCGGATCCAGGGGCCAAGGTCTTCAGATTGGTCGGGGGCCGCTTTTGCTGAAAGACAACGACGAGTAAGTACCCCGAGCTCCGGGCCTTCAGGTGGTGACGTGCTCGTTTCCAAGCCATCGCGCAGCTGTCTGCAGATTTCCTTGGCCGCGAGATCTGCGAAGCGCAGCGGCTCTTGGCGAAGGGCCTTGTCTTCTCCATCTCAAGTCCGGGGCGGGTGCTCAGCCAGTTGGAAGGAGGGGCAGAGAGAACGCTTCGATCGGGCGAAGGAGATCTTAGAGGACTGGGAGGGTGCTCGAGTTGCTTATTCTTTTGTAGGCCGTGCTTCGCCTCCTGCTGTGCTTGCGAGTGCGGCCTGGGGATATGCCTCGCCTGCTGTGACATCTAATGGGGGGGGGGGGGCGTTACTTTAACGTTGACCATGTGATGTCGGCTGCAGGAGTGTCCAGCAAGTATGACAGAAAAGCAGTGATGTCTGAGTCAGGGTGGCCGGCAGTCAATGCTGGCGCTTGGCATTCCACTGAAGGGCCCCTGGAGTCGGTTGGCGGGCCTGGTCCGTCTGGACCGGCTTCCAGAGGAGCGCCTCGCCCATGGAGGTGAGGTTCACTGTCCTGCTCAGTTGCGCTTTGACGCTTCGGGCCCCCCGTCCTTTTGTCGAGTCGCCTCAGGCGGGGCAGGCGCATCTTGTCCCCTTTTTGCATGTGTTAGATCAGGCTGGGCATGACCCCTTTGACAATTTGCGAGTTGCCTTGCAGTGCTGCCGTGTCTGGCCAGTCTGTTCAGGATCATTAGCAAGAGGGGCATAGTTTCCCTCCTTCGTCTCTCATTGTTGTTCAGCCGCGAAGGATGGCCGAGGCTTCGCTCTCGGCCCTTTCTGCTCTGCGCGACCGCCGGCGAGAGGCGCTCGAAGAATGCGTCGAGAAGTGTCGCGAGATTGCGAGGAAGGATTGGCCTCCACAGCTCCACCTCCTCCGCCTCCGCCGGCCCCCCCCCCAGCAGTGCCCCAGACGACGGCGTCGTCTGCGTCGCCCCCCTCTTCGCCGACGACGACAACGACGACCCCCCCCTCCCAGCAGTGCCCTCGACGACGACGAAGACGACGACGACGACGACGACGACCACGCACCCCCTCTGTCAGCAGGGCCCCTGACGACGACCCCCGCCAGCAGGGTCCCCGGCCCAGGGCCAACTTCCGGCCTGGCGCCGGCCAGGTGCGAGATGGGGGCGGTCGGCCCTGCGCCTCCCCCCCCAGGGTCATGGATGGGGGGAAATTGGTTCGACAGCGGCAACGGCAGGGCGTGAGTGTCGAGGCTCGAGGTCTTCAACAGTTTTCGTCGGTTCTCGGCGGTTCATCCCAGTCCTGGGATGTTTTCGAGCAACTGCGCCTCGCCGAGACTGTTCTGGAGGTGGCCCCGGCGTTGCCCGAATCGCCCCCAACGGGCGCTGGGAAGTCGAGCCATGACCCGGAAATCAAAGGGCGCCGGCAAGGGGGGGGGGGGGGGCAAGCCAGGGGGGGGGGGGGATGGATTTACCCCCAATCACCGCTAGGTGCGTAAAGATTAGCCTGTCCCGCTCAGGAGCGCGTGGATTCCCGTCGGGGTCTATCGCCGACTTATCGGCGATATATCGCCGATTCCAGCTCGATTTCTCACGCCTCAAGCGCCCCCCCTCCCCCAACTTCCTGGGCGGGTGCAGGGCCAAGTCTGTCGGAGGGCGCCGACTATATTCATCGCTCGTTGGAAGCAGTCATCCCCCGACTCCCATATTCCAACCTACTTCGGTCGCCTTGCTATTCCTCACGCTTCGCGTACCCCCGCCAGCCCATTGGTCTCTGCGCAGCCCGCTTTGACCTGGCTCGCCGCCAGCGCGCTCGCCCGCGGCCGCTGACTAAAAAGTACCCCCACCAACGTTCAGAAATCCTGCCCATGAGCGCCGATGGGGGAAGGGGCGAACAAACGCATGCATAGTGAAACGAAGCTGACGACTAGAGTGAACACATTCATCTCTGGAAGCAAGTGGCCTTGGAGGGCATCTTCGGGCCATCCCTCTGGCCCGCGGGGGCGGGCGGGGAAGGGGGGGGGGCGGGGGGGCGTAGCCATATTGACTCACGCCGCCCACCAGCGGGCGAACCACGCATTGAGGCAAAGCCTGGCACAACGCCAACGGGCAAGAGAGGCCTTCGGCGGACATGTGGACGTACTTTGCCAACGCGCAAGTTGCAGCAGCAGGTGTCGCGGGAGGAGCAATCAAACCGATCTCACCCATCGTTAGAAGGCTCGCGGTAGAGGAGCAGAAGGATGTGAGGAGGGATTTCCGAGCAGCCAGAGATAACGGTCAAATTGGCGCGCCAGGTATCTCATCGACTTTGGCTTTTGCGCAATGTCAACTTAACCAATCATGCGCGAGACGGGCTACCCGAGAGACGCAGTCCGCTGGGGGGGCAGTTTACAGCGCAGGCAACGCCTATCAACATGTCGAGATCAGACATCGCGCAATTATATGGCCCTTCCTTTCATCCTGCTCAGTTACCCTTAGCAGAGTCAGCGGAGGGGACAGACCCCGCAGCGGAGCAGGCGCGGCTGGAGAGACGCCGCCTTCGACGCTCGCGATTTGCCGAGGCTGCGCGGGGGCGCGGGGTGGCGGGGGCGGCGAGCGCGAGCCAGAGAGGGGGCGGCTCGAATGAAGTCGCCTGAGACGGTTGCGCCTTGCAGCTCTTGCGCCGGAGAGGGATCCGGTGAATTGCCGGCGGGGGCGTGCCAGAGGGAGGCAGGACAATCCACCTTAGCCGCCAG